ATCCATTATTATTATTAATGCTTAGCATTCATCCTCCAGCTTCACTGTGTTTCTATTATTCTAACCATAGCTGTGTGGCTAGCTCTAAAAATACTACTCTAAAACACAAACAAAATAATTAAAAAATAAACCAGACACCATATAACTCAAAACACAGGAATCAAAATATAGCTACAACTGAATGAATGAACACTACCAACTCACCCCAGAATCTAAATAACAAAGAATAAGGAACACTGGGACAAAAAGACAGGGGCCATGACAAGTTCAGGCTGGTCAGTGATAGAAAGAACAGTGGTGCTAAAGGGCAGTAGCACTGATGTCAGAGGGAATGGCACATTATGTCACATTTATCACGTTTATTTTATTTTTGTTTTGTTTTTTTGACACACAAAACATAAAAAAGTCAGAAAGAGGAAAAGAAAGAAACAAAATCTTCTTTTTATTATTACACTGTACTCTGTCGAGTTAGCAGTGTTCTTATATGCTGTACGTTTACAACACAACTATTAGTGTCAGGACCAAAGCTCTGAGTAGTAAACACTACTGAGACAGTGTTTAGTGTATTTTGAGCTACAAAAGATTGAAAATGAGCTTTAGAGGAGATCCTTCTCTAAAGCTCGATTCTCACGTGAACACTGTGGTAAAATCCTGCTTTTTCCAACTGAGGCAGCTGTCAAAGATCAAGCCTCTTTTGGTCAAACGCAACCTTGAAAGAGACATACATGCTTTTATAAGCTCTCATCTCAACTACTGCAGTGCACTTTTCATCCAACTCACCCAGGCCTCCATTGCTCACCTTCAGCTGATGCAAAACGCCACCGGTGGATTTTTATCTTGTGCAAGCAAGAGCTCCTTCACTCACCGTTTTAAAACACACTTTTACTCCCTGTCCTTCAACCCAGGGTCAGATGTCTGTGATCTTATGTTACTTTTATGTACTTGTTTAGTGTTTAACTTCGACTCCTCTTTTCTGTTTCCGTATCTTTTACCTTCTGGTGTGTGTTGTTTGTCTTTTGTATTTGATATCATTTTACAGCACTTTGGTTTGCCCTGTTGTTGTTTTTAAGTGCTTTAAATAAAGTAGTATGGTAACTGTATTTGTTTAAATTACATACTTACAAGTCACCATTTTAGAAAATACAAGATCAAATCAAAAATGAGTTACAAAAATACTTATATATTTGCCTTCAGTTAGCTGTATTATAATAAAAAATACTTAAAAACATAACTATTGGAAAAGGAGTGAGCATCTTTACTCTCCAGGCAGAACAAAGCAAGTAACATGTTGAATATTTTCATGTTTTGAGACAGGTGAGTTCACATGAAACAACTACTTCACCTTAACTCAAAAAATATATACCTAAGATCGTCTACAATCATTCACCGCACAACCCTTCCCTTCTTGCCCTGCTATCAGAATCAAAGTCCATTCTGTGTAAATATCTTTGTACCCTCCCCTTTCACAGACTTCCCTCAAAAGGACTTTGGGTTCGAATTTCAGTTCATATTTGCATTCTTATAACAGAAAGGAAAGCTTTCAGACATTTACAGTCATCGTGAGGAGACATGGCGCAGCAAGTGATTCAGCTGGATCAAGAAAAATTGAGCTGTCCAGTCTGTCTGGATCTCCTTAAGGATCCCGTCACTATTCCCTGTGGGCACAGCTACTGCATGACTTGTATCAAAAAATATTGGGATGAGAAGGTAACACACAGCTGCCCCCAGTGCAAGAAGACTTTTCCATCGAGGCCTGTCCTGGTGAAAAACACCATGTTAGCTGAGTTAGTGGACGACCTAAAGAAAGCAGGACTTCCAGCTGCTTCATCTGATCATGCCTATGCTGGACCTGGGGACATGGCCTGTGATTTCTGTTCTGGGAAGAAGCTGAAAGCCTCCAAGTCCTGCCTGGTGTGTATGGCCTCTTACTGTGAGCAGCACCTCCAGCCTCACTACAACATAGCTCCACTAAAGAAACACAAGCTGGTCAAAGCCACTTCAAAGCTTCAGGAGAACATCTGCCCTCGCCATGATGAGGTGATGAAGATCTTCTGCCGCACTGATCAGCAGTGTATCTGTTATCTCTGCTTAATGGATGAACACAAAGACCATGTCACGGTGTCAGCTGCAGCAGAAAGAGCTGAGAAGCAGAAAGATCTAGCAGGGAATCGACAGAACATCCAGGAGAGAATCCAGGACAGAGAGAAAGATATGAAGGTGTTTCAGGAGGAGGTGGAGGCCATTAATCTTTCTGCTGATAAAACAGTGAAGGAGAGTGAGGAGTTGTTCAAAGACCTGATCAATCTAATTGAGAAAAAAAGCTCTGAGTTGAAGCAGAAGATCAGATCCAAGCAGAAAACTGAACAGAACAGAGTCAAAGAGCTTCAGGAGAAAATAGAGCAGGAGATCAGAGATCTGATGAGGAGAGACACTGAACTGCAGCAGCTGTCACTGACTGAGGATCACCTCCATTTTCTGAAAAGCTACTCCTCACTGTCACATCTGAGTGCATCTACAAACGTACCCACTATCAGTGTTCAACCTCAACAGTACTTTAAGGATATGATGATGGAAGTGTCACACCTTAGAAATAAACTACAGGCCATTTTGAGTGAAGAGCCGGCAAACACCTGTCAGAAAATGACTCAAGTGGATCTAAAAGAGCCCGTAACTAGACACGAGTTTTTGAAATACGCCTGTCAAATTACACTGGATCCAAAGACTGCAAATCCATATTTATCTCTGAGTATGAGCAACAGGAAGGCAACGCTGACGCAAGTCGAACACTTAGTTTCCATTCATCCGAAAAGGTTCTTACCATGGTGGCAGGTGATGAGTTCTGATGGTCTGACTGGATGTTGTTACTGGGAAGTAAAGTGGAGTGGTAAAGTTTTAATTGCAGTTGCATACAATGACATTTGTAGAACAGGAAACAGGACTGAATGTGGATTTGGAAATAATGAGAAATCTTGGGCACTAGAATGTGAGAACGGTAGTTATGTTTTCAGACACAACAGCATTTCCACTTTAATCTCAGGCCCTCAATCCTCCAGAGTGGGAGTGTATTTGGATCACATTGCAGGTATTCTGTCTTTCTACAGCGTCACTGAGACCATGAATCTCCTCCACAGAGTCCAGACCAGGTTCACTCAGCCTCTCTATCCTGGTTTTTGGCTGTCAGCATTTGTTGGAGACACTGTTGAGTTGTGTAAGTTAAAGTAGACCGGAGTGATGACTGATCTGTGGTGAACAGTAAAATAATATATGCTGAGATGTGGCTGCACTGCTGAGGTCAAACTCTGTGGGTGAGATTTTTTAAAAAAATTGAAAAATACTGCATTTATAAAAGCAGGTATACTTATAACATATGCAGATTTTATAAGAATAAAACTTGCATTAGAAAGTGTTTTGATTTATTCATTTAAATAAACCTATTAATTTTTCTGACCACAATCATCTCCAAAATGAATGTATTATAATGTAAGAAAATGTCATTATAATTTATATATTAATTAATTTAATGTCTATATTTGTTGCTTGGTATTGTGTATGCTGTTCATTCTTCTTGTATATATTGTAAAGCTGTTTTAATGAGATTACAAAATCACAGCAGTATTAAATGTAAATTTAAGCATGTTTAATTTAAGCCATTCTGAATAATAACTAAATTTACTTTTGGTAGCTATAATGTTAACACTAATGCTTTCAATCTTTACAAATGCAGGATTTTTAATTGTTATAGAGTATATTTAGTGTAAAAGCTCAGGTTATCTTTTCTTCCACTGAGCAAAACGGTCCAGTTTTGTGTAACCTGCACAGCAGAAGAGCCACACCTGAGGGTAATGGGAATATTTAAAGTTGTCCAATTGTCCTGTCCATGACCATTTAAAATAAATCTTTGATTCGTTCCACTTTTATGATTCTCAATTTCTTTACTTTTATTTTAATATAACAAATAAGTAAAAGGTCATTTAATCCGAAACAGCACACATGTAACAAAAGTAAATAAAAGTAAACATTTCACCAGACAGTGTTACTTTCAGATTTATTACACAACTTGTTTAAACATTCCACAACAATCATGCAGGAATAAAATGGGAATTATACAAAGCTTTACACGCTTCTCCAATCACACTTCAGGAATAACTGGACTTCTGATCATTGTCTCAAAAACACTCAAAATGTGAGGTAATTTTTAAAAATCATTATCTACAGACGAAAGACCGTGTGTTGACTGAATGCTGAAGAGGGTGAAAGAAACAAAAACACTCAATATAGGGTAATGAAGTCAGCAATTAACTATACATAACTGTGCACTGCGTCAGCATTGAGTTCATTTGGAATATTACAGTTTAAAATGCCAGGAATGTCAACAAATGCACCATCAATTCCTTATCCCTTATTTGATGTCCTCCTTAGAAGTAAAAAAACATTACACATCAGAAATTATTAACATAACACCTTGTCCTTTTTTCTTTTGTACAACAATTCTACAAAAGAAATAAAAGCTACAGTAAAACAGACGCACAAAGAAAGTCAGGGCGCTCTGGGATCATTGGACGTTTATCATTTCATTCCCTTAAATTCTTACCATTCAGAGAAAATCTGTAAAGGTGCAGAAAGTGTCTTACCTAAATTCTGACTTTGAAAGGTCAAATACTTGAGAGTCAACCATAAGCATCTCTAATCCCAGCCTCAGAATATATCTATACTTAAAATATCAAAGCTTGAGATAATTAAGATAACGGTTGTTATAATTACCTTCTGTTCTTTTAACGCCTGTAACACAAAAAGCTTCCTGTCTTTTTTTAAGAGCTGAAACATGTTTTGGGGGTTTTCCTTAGTCGCATACACTATACACACTTTATGGACAAACGTATTGAGCCACAACTTTCAGTCTTTCAGTCTCATTGCCACAGGTGTGTAAAATCAAGCACCTACCCACACAGTCTGCCTTTTGTGAAAGAATGAGTCATTCTGAAGAGCTCACTGTATTCAATGGTAGTGCTGTGGTACCTCTGTAACAAGTCAGTTTTCACGCTAGATATATTCAACAATCAGCTGTAAGTGGTTTTATTGCAAAGTGGAAGTGTTTAGGAACCACAGCAACTCAGTCATGAAGTAGTAAGAGCAGAGGAGGCATAGTGTTTAACAGTCACCAACGCTCTGCTGACTCTGCCGCGCTCCAAAGCTCCTCTAGCATTAACATCGCCACAAAAAGCTGAACTGGGAGTTCAAGGCGTGGGTTGCCAAATACAAAAAGTCCCTTTAGATATAACATGCAGGTGACCAACCTTTTGTCTATATATGTATGTTCTAACACAGCAGTTTTTTTTTTAAATACTCATTAAACATGGGCAGCACGGTGGTTAACACTGTTGCCGCAAAGCAAGAAGGTCCTGAGTTCAATTCCACCATCAGGCCAGGGTCTTTCTGTGTGGAGTTTGCATGTTCTCCCCGTGTTTGCGTGGGTTCTCTCCGGGTACTCCGGCTTCCTCCCACTGTCCAAAGACATGGACTTAGTGGAGATAGGTTAATTGGTTAATCCAAATTGCCCATAGGTGTGAATGTGACATAATTATTGGAATTCAATCCAGATAACAGTTTCCCCCTTACTTACTAAAAAAAAAAAACGCATATGAGAGCTCAATAAAAATTTGAATATGCCTGATGAGGGTTTTTTTTACACATAATCTGGGTGTTTAGCGGTGAAATACTGTTGTTATTAACAGATTTTAAAAAACGCAAAGTTTCCAAAACCCCACTGTCTATGTGCAAATATCTAGCTTTTAGTCGCTAATAGCAAACTAGCAAGATGTAAAAGTCTATTGGAGCTGCTAAAAGTGAACAAAGCAAATTTTGTGTGTGTGTGTGTTGCACATGAGGCAAAACACACAGTCATCCTATAATCTGAAGAAACACGGTTCACTTTTTCAGTAAGTTGCAGATGTTATAAAAACAGAAGTTACCCAGAAGATTGAAGAGCAGTAACAAAAAGCCATATTTCACAGCTTTTACTAAAACGTGACTTACACATGTTATAAGCAACCTTAACATGTCTTCAAATCTCCCTTTAAGTCACTGCGAGCCAACTTCACAATAGCCATTGTGTATGCTCTTATTTATGCTTTCCCTGCTGTGTCATATATCAAAATGTCTGCTGTGAGAAAAGCTCCCCAGTTATGTTGATCCTATCAGGGTTAGAAACAAATAATAACAATTTAACAAACACTTTAGCCACAAATACTGTGTAAAAAAAAAAAAAAAAGGTCAGCTCATGAGAAAAACAGGCACCATATCCACCATAATCTCAATGGAAAATATCAGGTAAATATCAAACATGACTATATAAGAATTATGGATAAAAAGAAGTCTAATTTTGAAGTATATAAATAGAAAACAATGAAAAGTAAAGTTTGTATTATCAACGTGTACTACTTTACAGTGTGCTCATTTTAAACACATACTCTCCCAGATGTAACAATGTAACGATGAAGCCAAACAATCATCTTTTATGGGTTAGTGGTTTGTTTGTTTTTTAACTTCCATTTACATTTTCATGCTCCGGCTGTTTTGTGAGGTTGTTCGAGTATTTTTAGATCAAGTCAGATGAGATCATATTCTTTGGTAAAAGGAGGGTGAAGAGGATGTTTGTATGAATTACCTCTGATAACACTACGCACGTCAACAAACCAATGATAAAAGGCCTTATACACAAGTTTAAAAATACAATGATAAAAAGTGATAGTATCAAAGTTTCCACAGTACAATACATACAACAGATTATTGCACCAAATGTAACTATTTTAAATGTTATCATAGCAGAGCGACTTAGTGACACTGTTTCACTTTCTCCACTCTCTGGATTTAAATCCACCCATAAATGAATAATACAATTAAAAAAGCGAATGTTCAGTAGGGAACGTTTTAAAGACCAAAAATTATTATTTGCTGAATGATTAAATAAAAAAATTATAGTGGCAAGTAGTTACATAGCCAATCGGTCATTTTGTATCAAAATTCTCATTAACTATATGTGTATTACACATGTTGTAAAGTCACAAATATTAAACCAATAAAGCTTTGTGCATCTTACATTTACACTAAACTGGCGTTTCAGAAAACATCGCTTTCGCCTACGGTCGGCTTCAAGTGCGTTACAGGGTTATGGTAATATACCTAAAAATGCACAATAAATACTAACCTTAAACAATAATCATGATTGGACTTTGTCATCACTTACAAAAATAATGAGCTGCTTAAACTTTTCCTTTAGGAAAGTTACATTTTAAGTGATGATTTGCTGTGAGTCTCACAGCAGTGATGGTGTGATCACCAAATGTTGCTATAGGCTCGTCTTTCCTCTGGAGGAACAGCGCCCTCTCTCTGCAGATTTCCCACTAAAACCTAGAGGCCTGTAGTGGGAGACAGCCTCATTAGATGGTCTCATTTGTTTACTTTCAGCATTTTGTCTGTACACTGCCTGGCCAAAAAAAACAAATTTTACAAAGCAAAAAAAAGAAGAATTTTCATCCATCATTTTTCATCCAAGAATGTTGGAAGGGTCGAATTATTGGCCTCTTTCAAGCAAAGAAAACAACTAAAGAGACTGATAGAACGACTAAAACCGGGTAGGGGCTTTCCAAGTTCTCATTACAATAAGGCAGTAAGAACAGAGTAAAAAGAACAGGACTAAACAAAACCACTTGTCAATGAAAAGGGTAGAAAAGGGTTCAATTTCGTAGGAAGAATAAAGATTGGACTCAGCAATGAAAAAATTGCCAGATTTAACCCTTTAACGCCTATTGTTTCATATTACATACATTCAGTTTTTTGTGAGTTATATCATCAGTGTGATTTTTTTCCCAATAACAAACCTAAAAAAATGCATTTTTAAGTATTTTCTTTGAAGCCAGATGTAGCAAACACAATATAAATTAAAAGTCATATATAGAAATTAAAATGTAATTCATTTTTCAAACAAATTTACTAGATAGTTCAATAAACTCTCCATTTTCAAAAAATTCAAAGAACTTTCTAGCAATTATTTCATATTTCAGGCTTTCATAACCCTCCCAAAGCATGCAACTGTGTACAGACAAAAACGTGGTGACGCTGCATAAGCTTATCGAAACAATGCCATGGTGAATGCAAGCTGTCATCAAAGCTAAAAAGGCAGTGCAAGATATTATTAGATTTTTTTTGACAGGCAGTGTATTTTCTGATCTGTGAGCAAGGATGTCAATAAGACTTTTGAGTCTTTAGCTGGGTAAGTGTTTAACTTTTAAAAGTCATATCATTCGAACTACATTCAGCAACACATTCATAGCAGATGAGATTCTGAATATCTGTGAATCTGTGAATCTGTTCACTATCTTGGGACAAATGTAACACTGACGCAAGTTTTCATTATTTTACACCAACAAATGGACCCTGTGGTTTGACACAAAACAAGAACACAATAATAGGTAACAGATTTTCCTCTACAATGTGAGCCTTTTAGAATAAAGCAGTGTACCCTTTCTCTTACTTTATACTGACATCTACACACTAAAAACAGTCACACGGGTTTACATTTTGCCGTAGGAGTGATAAATGCAAAGCTAAAAATGAAGCTTTTAGATCAATATAAGGACATTTAAGCTGCATTTCAAACACAAGTGCCTCCTAAAAACGAAACAAAACATGTCTAAAAGTTGTTCCAGAGCAGGAACAGTGAGGAAGGTCATATTTTTAAATGGGCATGTTGCTTTTTTAAGACATTAAGTTTGCCGTTCTTGTAAAAGTAAGCTGTGTAGAAAAAAGAGCGCATTAAAAAAAATGATTATTTTGGTATTTGTGCTGAAATTTGCAAAAGAATAGCAGACAAAAGCAGAGAGTGGAGAAACAAGTCCCACCACAAATAAGCCAGCAGGTTGCTGGGACTAGCTAGTGGCTGTGAAGAGTGATCAAATACAAAAACACCATCCATCCAAATGTCTACAGCTTCTCTGTGCCGAATATGTAACAAAAAAGGCAACCACAGTCCACATTAGCCAATTTGTAGCAGGTCATCAGAGACGAAGGGTGTTGCTGTGAAGGTGTGTACATTTTTTTTTAAGTTTTATACTTTTAGTTTAAAAAAAAAATACAAACAAAACCTTAGCTGAATAACAACGATCTGCATGTTGAGTCAGTGGTTTTGCATGCAAATAATATGTAGATATTTTGCAATGTGACATTTAGAGAATAAAATCTGTTTTTAGGAGGAATTACTTTTTTGTGTTACATGAGGAGCTGAGTGGAACTGGCTCTGTCAGATTTTAGTTCTGGGATGCTGAATAAATATTTAGATTTCTACTTTTGAAGTGCCACTGAGCAAACCACTAGACTACCAACCTTTCCTCTATAACTATATTTCTTTACTTCCTATCAACCTGCCTGTTTTTCATGACGGCAGCTCATTTAAATTACAAACTGTAGTTGAGCAATAATGTCCTTGTTTACATCAAACAAGATTTTGAATCATTTCCATTAGAGGTTTCCTCGATAATTTAAAAATAAATGATCAATATCACATCATACATTATTGTGTAGCTGTTCTTATTCTGTGCTTTTGCCTGGCTATGGTTACACACTCTCTTGCTACCTCCATTTATTTGGAGATTTAATTAAATTGCCTCAAAAGAAATTATGCAATAGACAACGGTATAGATGAACTTGCAAAATTGCAATGATATTGTCGTTATCAGCAATAATTGTGAAGAGAAATTCTGACAGGACAGCCCGAGTTTCCAACATTTGTTGGTGTTAAAATGCTACATGTAACACTCTAAGACTTAACTACCACAGTAGCTGCTGGATAAAAGCCTCTTGTTCAATGAATATCTGGTATTTTTTTCTCCCCAGAAAACAGATACAGCAATGTGTACACTGTGTAGTGAAACCTTTCGCACACTATAGATCTCTAGCACTGAAAAACAGTAATTTTATCAGCTGGCAGGCACACAAAAGACACAAACACGAATAATAGAAAAATCCTCCTCTCTCTCTGCCTCACAGCAGACTAGGAAAGTTTGCAATCACCCTCAATATGTGGCAGGAAACCTGTGCGTGTCTGTCTGTTATTCCAGAGACGAAGGGTGAAGTAGAAACGGGGTACAGGCTTTACTCATTAGCGGGCTTCTCTTTGCAGGAAGGTTCACAGAGGATTTCTTTGTGTGGTAGTGGATAGGGGAAAGCTGCTCCGCTGCAAGTGCTACTGTGAACCAGTTTGTTGAGGCGAGAGAGGCCCTTGATGCTGCCAGGGGGCCTCCCGGGGCTGACCTTATACCCCGCCGCTCTGGTCGTACCGAGCGGCCTTCCAGGACTCGTCTTGAACCCGGCAGCTCTGGTGGTGCCGAGTGGTCGCCCTGTGCTGGTTCTATAACCAGCTAGCTTGGTGGTTCCCAAAGGCCTCCCACGTCTGCCCGTCTTCCCGACAGACTTGTTCTTCTTCTTGGCATCATCTGTTGCTTGATTGGTGTTTTTTAACCCTGCTAGCTTTCCAGACGAGCGAGGGTCACCCCCAAGAACTTCCTGTCTCTGGCACACCATGGGCTTGTGGCTCTGGGTGGGTAAGGCCATGGGAGCCAGTGTCATCTGGAGGGATGATGGAGGGGGAGGAGGGTAGAACTTGCTGGCCTGTGAGGTGCACAGGTCAAAGTGAGCAGTGGGGTGGTGGCTGTCCTCTGCTAGGCACGACGGCCTGCTGTTCATGCAGAAGTCACTGGTTGTCACCTGGCGCATCATCTTCTGTTGGGGGTTGGAAATAATGCATCAGCACTCAAACATCAGGACTAATGTTTTCTGGATAGTGAAATGTCAGGTTAAAGTTAAAAAGCAACTCTACAGTTGAAACTGATCATACCCATATTTGCATGAAGACAAGAAACATGGGAACACTAAGACTTCAGTGAAATATTCTGAAAGCATCATCTGGTCTAATCCAGATCTACACACGGTGGATCTAATCCCATCCCAACAGATTATTCTCATAAGAAAGGGAGCTGCTTATTTCTGAAGTGAGCTTCACTTTTGTGCTGCTGGTCAAAGTTCAAATTTAGTGTCAGCGCTAAATATTAAGGGCTCATTACTGCCACGCTGAGAGTAGAGGGCTGAAAGCATCCACTATGACCTGCAGTTATAATGGATTTTTCCCAAATGACCACATTGCACACTGAAAAGGGAAACTTCAAGGTGCATGAAGGTGGGAGACGATGCTATATCTGAAACATTTTAACAGGAGAAAGGACTTGAGGATTGTTTTGCTCTGCAGAGAAGGAGCAGCAGCATACTGTAATGTGGCTGTGTGCTGAAGTCGAGGTTATTACAGTAAACAAACTACACAATAACAGTTGTCTCATGGTGTTTGTACTATAAGATAAAGACCCCAACAATCAGACCTCAAATAAAACGTAGACTCAAAAAGAAAGGCAAACTAACAGAAACAATAATGGACTTACAAAAGTAACTATAATCAACAATATTGAGTAAATATGCTTAGTCTTAGTTAACTTGCACTACTTCTAAGCACTTTGTTCTGCAATGCGTGCCTTTCTCTTGTTTTCTATATGTTCCTCCAGTTTGTATATATTTCTCTTGTTTCTTATTTATTCCTGCTGTCTTACTCTTTATATTTTGTTCCTGCACAGTTGACATGGAGGACTTATAACTTTGTTCTACATGTACAGTGACAATAAAGGGCTATTTTATTTATTTTCAACCTGAGGAGGCATTGGTTAATCTGTTGGGTTGTTTGTTTGTTTTATTATAATGACTGTGAGTCAACTGCCTTCACACACAGTGTTGTCCTTGTTTTATAATACCAGCTTTGAACTTCCTAATCTGCCTTTAATAATAATTAGCATGGAAACATACAAAACTAAAAGTAAACAAGAAAAACAAGCAAATCCACTCGGAAACTAAACAGAATTAAAACCAAATTAGATATTTGGATTCATACCCTTCATGTAACAACAACAACACTTAAAAGATTTTTTTTTTTAAATACACTCCTGGAAATAAAAAATATTATTGTTACTATTACTACTACTACCTATATAACCAGACAAATACCCTTCATATAACAACAACAAAAACAAGTGCTGAAGCTAATAAAATAAACAAGAAAAGCCCCTCTGAAACGAAACAGAATTAAAAGTAACTTATTAGAAATACTGAAATAACAATAAAAAACAAAAACTATAGATCTCGATGAAAAATGCTTTGTTTAGAAACTCAAGTTCACATCTAGTTCGCTTGTTTACACGCAGACTTTCTCGTGTTATGTTAACTCGACCATGAAAAGCTGTTTCATAATTTAACAAACAGCATATGATTATATACGTCCCGTAAACAGCTTCGACCTTAAGAATAAGGATAGACCTCACCAAAGTGGTGCTGAAGTGCCTTAGAGCAAGACCTCTCCTCTCGCCGGTCATAAAACCGTGTTAGACTGAATGCATTTGGCTGCTTTGTACACTTTAATTACAGTATTGAAGAGTGTAAATGGAGTGAAGTAAAGAGTGCACACAGCTGCTATCGCCTTTTCTGCAGAGGAAACGGGACGCAGGGAGGTGTGGACTTTCACCATCACACACGCTACACTGTCAGTAGTAATATTCATTCACAAAAAACAAAATGCACATGGATTCCGCATCTTTGCATTCAGACAAAACCTCCAGCTCTCCGTTAACGAGCAGCACCGAGGGCTGAACGTAGCCTCGTCCCTGGCCCGAATAACGGGCTTTTTTTTTAAGAGACACAGAGACTGGTTTACACTGTTTACAACATGGCAGCTGACCGTGGACAGAGCTGATTTATGTGCTCGCATTTGAGCCGCATAACGAATCTAAATGCCCCTCCGGAGACCCGCGTTAGCGCTAACGTTACTGTACCTCGATTGTTCGCAGATCTCGGAGCAGAAAGGGTTAAGGAGCAAAATGATCTTTCATCCCCCTCAAAGCGCGAGTCGATCCATTTTCCAGAATATTTTCTCGCCACAGGACATCGGTTCGCTAACACACGATCACCGCATCGGGTAGTTTCGACGCGAGCGACGGTGAGAGGTGAGATGTGGTCAGCTAGACGGCTCCTTTTTTCATCTCCCAGCTCCAGCGGTTTGGATAAGAAACGCAGCCATTTTCCATTAAAAATTAATAAGACAGCAGCGCAGTCTGAGCATGCGCACAACAGCAAACTGGGGATGTGAAGAGGTTATTCTCCTTCCCCTCCTCCTGAACTGCTTTGACGACCGAAAACGCTTTTTTTTTGGTCTCTCAAGTCCTGAAAATTCTCATTTTCACCAAACAAGCGGGAGTAAAGGCTCAAAAAACGACTTTATTTTTCAGATTATTATCCTGAAACCGAGCCATGAAGCAGTTTTAATGCTCACCAAGCATCACTTCCCACCACTGATGAATAATATACAAAGAACTGCTATTAAATAATTAACATTAGCAGTCTGAACAAATACAAAGCGCCTTAACAGACTGGAAACAAGTTTATTTTCTTAGCAACAATGTTTTCTTGGATCTTTCATAAAGATGGTGGTTGGTATGGTGTTCCTACATAAATGTGACTAAAAACATCTTATTAATGAAACCAGGTCTTATACTTAAAGACATATTGTGGATAGTTGTGCTG